GTTCCATTGTTTCGTGCGCACGGTGTGGACTTGGTAATAAGTGGTCACCAGCACAATTATCAGCGTGGCCACATGGATGGAACCGTTTATGCTATCATCGGCGGCTCAGGTGGCGAATTGGATCACGTGATGGTAGAAGATTGGAAGATGTATGTTAACACCAAAAAAACACATCATTATGTACTAATGGAGATTTGGTCCGATAAAATTTCATGGATAGTTTATGACCTGGAGGGTTCAGTGATTGATAAATTTGAATTGGGTAAAGGAACTATTTTCTCTTAAAAATCAACTAATACATTTGTATAAAAAAATTTTTTTTCTAATAATAAATTTCTAAATAATAATAATACTTATAATAAATTTTCTGATTTATTGCACGCATTCATTTTGAAATCAAATTACATAGATTTATATCATTTACTTTAATAGACGCGTATGTAAATATTTTATTTAAATAATAAATTTAATATTAAAAATATAGTAAAATAAAATTGTTAAATATGCTTTTAATGTATATCATAAAAATATCATCACTTAATTTACAGTATAGTACAAAATTAAATTAGAATCATATATTTGTTAATAAATCAACAATTAATTATACAAATTGTATAAATTTTATGATTTTATTTTGAATATTATAAAAATAAATTTCTTATAAGTTATACAATATAAGATATTTTCTTTTTTTTTAAAAAAGTTATTTATATTAGCAAAAATCTTAATAACAGATATCAAGAAATTGAAAAGATTATATGTTACAGGTCAAGAGATTTTTGGTTATTATTTATAAATCTTTAGTAAAATTAATATATCATAACAAAAATCAAAATATTAATAAACAAATCAATAATAATAATTATAATTATAATTATAATTATAATAATAAATATATTTTATTATTTATATTAATAAATAACAAGAAATTAAAAAGATTATATATTATAAATTAAAAGTTTTTTTGAAGATATAATTTTAATTTTTATAGATTTTATAATTTATTCAATTTAATTTTAATTTTAGTTGATTTTATTTATTTTTTACTTTTTTCTTATGTTTTTATATTAAATAAATATAATTATTATTTAATTATATATAGCATATTAATATTATTTTAAAATTTATTATTTAATATTAATTAAATATAGATTGTATAAACAAAAAATATTTAATTTATTATTAATATATATAAGAAATATTGTTTCTTTTTTGAGATATACTTTATTATATATAAAATTAAATAAAAAAATAATGTTTATTTATATAAAAAAAAAAAAAATCAAATATAGATTAATAAAACTTTAAAATAATTTTTTTGATTTAATATTTAAGATATCTATTTTTTTATAAAATTTAACAAAAAAATTTTTAATAATAATAAGATATTTTTATTATATTATAAAAAAGATATTATTATTTTATTAATAATTTTATAATAATTTTATAGAAAATATTAATTAAAATCAAAAAATATATTAAAAATAATTTAAATAAAAAATTATATTTTTAATTATTAAAAATTATATGATAAATTAATTATTTTTTTAATAAAATATATTTATTAACAAAATATTATTTATTAAAATTAATATAAAAAAATAAATAACTTAATATTAAGCTTAAAAAAATTTTTATTAATCTATATTTAATTAATTTATGTTTTGTAATTGGTAAAAAAATTAAAATTTTTAAATTGCTATTTCTTTTTAATTATAATTTAATTATATTATTTTAATATATTTAAAAAAATCTTTTTATATACAGTATTTCTATTTATATTTTCAAATACACTTATATCAATTTTTATTTTAATTAATAATTAATTATTAAATTATTAATAAAAATATGAGTTTTGATTTTTTCCAATTATTTTTGTTTCACACTGTAAATTTATATTTGATTTCATTTGATATGAGTTATACTGTATACAGTATATTTGATTCAATTTCATATATACTTGTTTGATTACGGAAAAAAAAAATATTTTTGATTCAATTTTAGGTATATTTAAATCACATGACATAGTCATGTGGCAAGATGGATATGTTTTTTTGTTTGGCGAAATGTGATTGTAGATTTGCAATCACATGCATGTTGTTTGTGAATTTGACAATAGCTGAAGGTATATCCGTAACAAAACTCTGCCTAATAATGCAACATTACCAAATATTCCTGCAAAAAAAAAAAAAACAAAGATTCAAGAGAGAGAATTCCTGGATTAAAAAATATTTCCTCGTGATTTTGAAACAATTCACTATTTTATTTTTAAAAAAGATACAGAGTCGAATGGAACCCTACAACGCATGCCTTCGGATTACAATTTTCGTTTTTGATTCGTAAAAATTGAGAATCTGTTTTTTTAAAAGGAAAAATTATTAGACAGTAACTTAATTATTAATTTTTGATAAAGAGTGAAGTTACTTTTTGAGGGCATCTTGTATTCGCATCATCAGCCCAATGAATGGTCTTCAGCCCGCTTTTCCTAAAGAAAATTCTTGGGTTAAAATGATAAATAATTTCAAGAGTCCAATTAGATCAATAAGATTGTATACCATCGAATGACAATATACAATTTCTCAGTTTTTGGATCTCGCTGAATGGTTTCGATATATTCCACGTGGGGATCCCAGTTTGTATCTACCTCAACTTTATCGACAAACATGTCGGCATCTTTACAGTCGTCAACTCTGAATAATAACGGCTTAAGTTCAAACATCCTGAAATCGAACTCGATTTGTTCGCGTCCTATTTTATTAATATCATTTCTTTCATTTGTATCATCGGTTCCAATCATTTTCTCTTCACTTTCTTTGTTGAGACGGTCCGCTGTCGGAGACTCATTTTTTTGACTAACCGGTGATGTCACATTGAAGCTTCCTGATTTATCGGTGTTAAGCACCATGTGATCTTCAGTATTCCTGTGGTTTTCTTTCCTCGATATGATTTCACGCGAAAGATTGCAACAGTGCGATTCGACAATTGCACTTTGAACGGACACGAACTTTGACACTTTCTGGTTGGTTATTTGAGAATGTCCATTTTGACAAAAGCCTACGAGTGTCGATTCATTTTCTTCGTATTCAGGACTGTAAATTTCCATCTCGACATCCATTTCGTGTTGATGAGAACCTACGGTTTTCCGAGAGGTCTTAGGTTCATTCGTTTCTTGGTGATCAACATTTACATCTTGGTCTATATGCATTTGAGAATCCTCATGTTGAGAGATATTAAAGTTATCTAAATATTCTTCTCGGGTCTTGTCCATATGGGAATTGATATGGTGTGAATCCATTTGAGAAGCGAAAATTTCACCAGATTTAACAACCTTCTCGAAGTTCTGAATCACCTCCACCATATCTTTCATTTTATTGTCGTTCTGACAGGAATCCTCTATAATAGCTTCCCCGTGATTCACATCCTCTTGTGAATCTCTATCAATGGCAGAATTCTCTTGAACGAATTTGGTTAAACTCACGTCAGTACTTAAAACATCACCATTTCCTTTTATGTCTAAAGACATTTCTACTTCGTGATCACTGGAATCTTGTCCAATGCTTGTGTTTTTTTCGCCGAATGTTTTCCAAACCTTTCCATTGGTGTCTAAATTGATGTTTGTTTCATGGAGAACTTCACCTGAACGTGATTCAGCATTATTCTCATTGCCGTTCGATAGTATTTCCGGTGTTCTTGCATGCGCATTAGAAAGAAGCAAGCCCGTTTGTGTATCATCCGGAAAGTTTAAGATTTGAAGTAAGGGATGATTGATTGATTCCAATTGAAATTTACCGACACGAATCCAATAATTTTGAATAAGTTCATCGGCGTTGATACTATCGAAAAATGATTATTTCGATTAGCATGAAATCCTGATTATCATAACATACATGTAAAGTAAAACATACAGATGATACTCGTTTTTCCAAAGAGGTTCTCGAACATTTTCCAATATAATTAAATATTTCAGTTGCCCCTAAAAAGAAGTCAGAAGGAGAAAAGGAGATAAATAGAGTATTAATATGGAGCCCCCACCGTTTTGAGAACAATGCATTCGCGTTTACATTTGCTTCCCAGCTATGCCCGATAATCTTTTCGACTATCTTTGTGTCGCTGTCACCTCCACCACATCTGACGTGATTATTCTGCTCCTTGTGCATTCCACCATTAGTTGAAATACCAACACCTTTTCTGTCCTTGGTAGGAGACTTTCCACCTACTAATTTTTCATGGGTCGAACCGCGTTTACGATCTTTGTCAATTATCAAGATATCGGAATTAGCGGATCCATTTCTCATGAGAATGCCGAGTCCTTTGGTCGGTCGAGTCCCGGAGGTGTCCTTTTCAGTCAAATTCTCGGAGACTGAATTTAACAGCTTACTTGCATCCTCAATTGCAGGGATTATGCAAAATGTCCTTCTTACATTATGATAGAGACGAGCTTCCACCATGTTCTCGGTACCATTACTATCTCTACCACGACAAAAGGAATTGTTAGGGCTACTAAAATTCTCGGATTCAGGGTTCGTAGCATCATCGGAGTCATAGCTCCGTAGTCTCTCATGGACGTTACTTTGTTCCGCTTCGGTTGTCACGGTTGAATTGATACGATCATCACTGAATATGAAAGTATTAGAATCATGACTTGACAAGAGCTCCATAGACGTGAATGCATCGGTGATAGTGCGGGAGTAAACGCCAGTAGTTTTATAACTGGTTTCTACGATTACGTCTTTTGTTTTGGGCATATTCATTGAAATGTTAACCAAAAAGAAGAAATTCCCAAGAAAAAGAAAAAAAAATTTTTCCTCAAAGCCTTTAGAAATTCTTTCGTTACAATCTCATCACTTATTTTATAGTAGACACAAAAAAAACCTTGGTAATTACAAATTATTACGTGTCACGATTGTAATTCAATTACGTATTTTAATAATATTACCATTCACATTTTTTTAAAGTCATTTAATAATAATAATAGCTTGCACTCAGTGATTCATTTGTTATTATTTCATGCGTAAGCATGTAATTCACTTGGGTTATTCTATACAGTATAACAAGGCTGAGTGCAAATGAAGTGGTTGTTGGATAACATTTTAAGCCCCAGATCGTATTTTTCATTAATTCTATTAATTATTCAGCATATATGCAATAAGAGCAGTTCTGATGAGAATGACTAAAAATGGGGAGTAAAGATCGAAGTACAGTAGTTTGAAAACATGTCAACCATTATAGAAGTGAAAACTTTAATAATTTTTTAAACAATAAAATTGTGATGCATGGTATGACATAAGGCGGATTCCAAAAATTCTAGATCGGAAGATTACAGTTGTGTAGATACGTATACAGTATTAACGTTTTATGGTTATTTGCGATTATCTTTCAATTGATTCATTGTCTCTTTATCGATGTTCTTGGTTAATTATTCAAAATTTATGTTTATCAGGCCCAAAAATTGAGAGTGATTATAAAATGAGTAATTATTTTTGAAGGCAGCAAAAATGCTAGATATGATTTTTTCGGTCCTTACTATTAAACAATACATACATAATGTATACATAATGTAAATTTTAGGATCACAATTATAGTGACCGAAAAATCACTGTCCGCCTTCGAAAAGAATTACCCAAATGATTACCAAGAAGGGTTCTAAAGACGCAGTTGCTGGAGGTCCAAGAAAGAAAACATACACATTTCTAATATGGTTAATGGTTAAAATACAGTAGTATGTGTTATAAACGCGTAAATTTAGTTAATTGATTTGTGTAAAAATCAAGGATTTATAATTAACAAGTTTGCTTGGCGAGTATCTGTCATGCGTTGATTTCAAAAGTGTTTCTATTAGTGATTAGGTTCGCGACTGTGTTACGTGTTGGATGACAAGGCATAACTGCTAACATTTCGAATGCTAAATTGTTAGCAAGAATTTTCATATTGCTTATGTTTTTTAAGACTACAGATCTTTATTTAAATTTGATGTATGTAGCGTCATATGACACAAGTTTTTATTAAATATTTAGATTATACTGTATATACGTATTACTATACTTTTAATTTCTTTCACAGCAACTAACTTTCGGTAATCATAGCTTGCTTTTATCACTCAAATCACCTCGGTCAATAATCTCAAACCCGAAGTACGAGACTGGTTTTAAAAAAGATGCATATAATTTTGCTTCAGCAGAACTTGCCTGATTGAGTGCTTCTCGGGCAGCTATTCCTTGGATGATAACTGCTAACTTATTAATAAAGAATTTTCGTGTATGTTAGTAAAATAAACTGTAACCATGTAACTTTGCATAAACCGTTGAAAGAATATACACCTTGAAAAATGCGAAAACTATGGCAAATTCAAAGTTGGGTATTGGATATGGCCTTCCAACTTTTCTGCAGTACAACTGCATTAGTTCATTAGCCGGGGGAATAGGTAAGTCGGTCACGTCGCGCAGTCCGATGAAAGGTCCGTTTAGATCTTTGGCGTAAAAGTTTATCAACAGATTTGCAAGGTCGGAAAGCGGATGCCCGATGGTTGAAAGCTCCCAATCCAAAATCCCAACGACTCTAGGTTCCGTCTGGTGAAAGACTAGATTATCCAGCTGATTGACAAAAATTTAAATGCAATGAATTAATTTAGGAATGCGAATAATTATAATGACTGACTTATATACTTTGAAATCTCCGTGCACTATGGTTGCTTCATCTGGAACTTCGTTCTTCTTGAACCATCGAATTCTATCGTCAATCCTCGGAAGGGGACCCACTTGATTACCGTCTTTATCTTTAACCGCAGCTTGGGCCGCAGAAGTTTTGAGTAACGAACGAATCTGCCGAGCGTAGAAACCTGATGATTTTCCAAATGTATCGAGGCCAATATCCTTGTAATTAACCAAATGAAGTCTGGCAAGCGTCTCAATAGCCGAATACCAACTACAAGTGTGTCGGGGATAAGATAAATGGCTTGCACTTTTGTTACTTATTATCATTAAAGAAATTTTGATTCACCATTGCCTACGTTCTTCCGGAGGAAGTGACAAAAGTCGTAAGTCATCAAATATTCTACCTTTCAAAAACTCCATCACCTAAGTCGGAAATGACAAAATGTATTTACAAAGTGGAAATCAGGATACAAAAATATTTGGACCACTTACATAAAATGGAGTATCCAAGATTTCATTGTTTTCACAAAGGAGATATACTTTTGGAACCGGAATATCGGTATTTCTACTTAGAGCATTGAGTACGCGGTATTCCCGTTCGATAGAGTGGGCTCTTGTTGAAAGAAGAACGCCCGAAGGTTTTTTTCGAAGAACGTATCGTTTCTTGCTGCAAAGAATATTGCAATTAAACACATTTGCACAAAAGAAAAAAAAAAAAGATAAAACTTAAATTCATACTTGGCGTCAATTAAGAGATAAGTGGGATTGCTTTGTCCGAACTTGAACTGACGAATCTCCAAAGGTGCTTCAAATTCTGGCAAATTAACTTGCAAGTAAGGTTCGAGTTTCGAAACATCAATTGTGCTCCTTTAAGAAATGCGAATCATTGGTCAAGATGTTAATAAGGATAATGTGCGTTTAACATTTGATGATTTTATTCACCGAACGGCCGAAGTCTCTTGGGCATTTTTTTGTTTCGACATTTAATGATTTGAGTGAGAGACTTTGTATATATCATGTATCATGTATATACATCAATATTAACTACGATACTGTATTAGCTCCGATCAAAAACGGCATGGATCGGCAAAAAGGTGTTATTATATCACGTTCACTACCGCTTTTTCGAATTTAGATTTGCACAAATTGCTCTGATGATTGAATCACTTAGTATAGAATTATTGATTCACTTTTCAGCCGTGAGGTATTTTCAGCAATACAGGATTAAACCATTTAGGTATACAATGTATACGAATAAGCGCACTGGAAGCAAAATAATAAAATTGAAAATAAGAATTAATCTTGATAGAACTTGATCGAGTAATTTTCACATTCTTCGTTCATGATCGGCTTCATGATAAGGGGTCAAACTCCTTCAAGAAACTTGATTTTCGAAACGACTATATGACAAAAAATAGTAAATTGAATCATACAGAAAGCCGCGGTTCTAAACACTATCAACGGCTGGGTGAATAAAATGAATGTAATTCATACCGTTCCCGGAGCTTTATTTTTCTTTTTCGCTTCATCAGCTTCTTTTTCCATCTCTTGTTTTAAATATTCGAAGAAATTGATTTGTTTTAATTCATCTTCTAATTTTGATGATGAAGGAAGAACAGGTGCGGGTGCTGGACGTGGAGACCCGAGGTTGATCAAAGGTTCAACGTCAAGAGTATTGGGCTCGGGTACAAACTTCAAACCGTCAAACACTAGTTGATTCACTTTTATTTCATGAACTTCGTTCCGAGACGCATAACTTGATCGCTCAGCTGGACTTATGCATTGGGTTTTGTTGTTGGTAATATCAGGATTAATAACTATCTTATCGATTCTTTCTCTCACATCAATTATGGCATCTTTCTCAAATTGATCATTTTGGGGGTTATTTTCCATGAGTTCTCCAATTTCTTTTTTTGGCATTCTCCGGGCTACTCTATCCTTGGTCGAAGTTACATTTGACCATTGTTTACTCGATGCAAAGTTCTTTTCATATTCATTTGGTGATTGCCTTCTCGCATCATTCCAATCATTGGGTTCCCGCACCAAACCTTGCTTCTTGTCGCTCGATAAAACTCTAACATCTCTCATGGTTGAACTCCAGTTTTTCTTTTCAATATTTTCGTAATTTACTAAGTTGGAAGGTTCGTTGTCCCTGAATTCTCTTGAATCCAATATTAAATGTTTCTCTTTGTTACTCCACCCATCTACATCCTCAACCTGCTTTGATATATTTTTTTTGATCGCCCAATCATTATCAAATTCATCAAGCACACGAGCGACTTTGGGTTGATTCCATTCTGATCTTTTAGTTTCATTTTTATCTCCCCATCCAGACTTAACGTTACATGCTGTTTCATTAACCCTGTCATCTCTAGTCTCATCAAATTTCCGAAGGAAATGTAATCGATCCTGATCTGATGTTCTACTTTTGTTACCATCTCCCCACGCAGGTCTAACATTATCTGCAACTTGGAAAACATCAGACTGACACCATGTCGATATGGTCGATCTTTCACCCGCCAGATAAGTCTTAGGTTTACGAAATTCTTGAGAAGCTTTGCTGTGATCACTTTCATGTCTGCTGATTCTGCTCACATCATCACACCCAGGTCTAACATTTCCTGTTAGAAAGATATCGTCTGCACAATCATTTTTACCCTCGTCGAGCGTCAATTCAGTTTTGAGATTCTCTAAATACTGCGGGATACAAGGTTGATTCCATTCCGGGTTTTTATTGTTTACTTTTTTCCATGTTTTTGAAGTGACTGTCTCGGGGGCATCGGGCACCGATTTAAACATGAACCCATCTGATGATCCCTCAAACGTGATTTGATTCTTGACCGGAGAGATATTGATCGTTTTAAGCTCTTCACTTAGTGATTCGACATTTGACAAACTAAAATAAATGAATAAAAATAAATTTTCATCGAGATGTTTATAATAATAAAGATGTGTCGTTTTATGTAAAATTAAAAAATACCTGTTGTTACTTGGTTTTTTTTTGTTTTTTTTGCCAGTCGCGTCAGAAAACTTATGCTGGTAACGATCAGTGTGCTTTGTCTGTTGGTAGAAGGCACTCGTATTGTCAAGAATGGGTTCCGTCATCTGCTAAGAAAATGTTTAAATAATGCACGTTTAAAAGTTTCAATATAATAAATTTTAGGTCGAGTATTCTTTGTTTACTAGATTTAATCACAATGCTCAATCAAAAGACATGGTGTGCAGAATATAATGAACATACTTTTTCATCAACCTCGGAATCTTTATTCGCAATCATGACGTTCGCCGGAACTTCCCAAGGGCTAGCATACATTTTTGTTGATTCACTGGATCCCGAGCTTGAATTTTCACGATCCTCTTTGGCGTAATCGCAACCGATATCTCGAGGTCTTCCTTCGTTGATGATCTACAAGTGATCGTTAATAATAATCGTTGAACTTGTTCTAGGATAAATTTAAGTGTTTGTAAAATTATATGCTTAATCGAATAATACCTGCTTTCCTTTGTCCGTGAACTTTTTTTGAAAAACCTTTTCTCTCATAGAAAATTTTGTTTTTTCATTTTCCTTTTCAACAACAGTGTCCACTTCGATGCTGCGAGTGCAATATCGTTCGGAAATTTTGGAATTCTCAGGATTAACCGGGAAGCGTTCGCGATGATACTTGTCGTTAACAGATATTGAACGATCATCGGCGTTTCTCGTTGGATCCGCGACCTTTGATTATTTTGTGAGACGCGAATTGACACACATTTGTGATAATTTGAGAAAATGAGCAAATTGAAGACTCTTACCTCAACATTCAGTTCCAAAGCTTTCGCGTTCCACGGACGAAAAGGCATGTCTTTCTTTGGCAATATCGGATATATATTGTCATTATTAGAATGTGGATTATCCTTGTAAAAGTCCATTTTACGCGTATCTTTTATGAAAAAGAAAAATATGAGTTATAGTTCTCTAGTTCGTGTTGCTGGTTCGTGTTGCTAGTTCGTGTTGATAGCAGAATATGTGAGATTTTCATGCGAAGTGAAGAAAGAGTTGGAATGAGTCAATTCTGAAATTCTGATGCATCACTGATCCAAACAATGATAATTACGCGAACTGATCACATGACGTTTAAAGTAATATTCCCGAAATTTTTTCTTCAAAAGCCTTTTTATTAGTCAAAAAAAAAGTGACTAGATGTCGATGACCAGTCATTGTTTCTTGTAGAATTCACTTCAGATATTAATCACTGGATTATTTACTATTGATATTTGACGCATCTTTAATAATATGATAGCATAAATACGCATTCAAATGTTTGTAAGAGATATGTTAAGGGCTATCTATTTTGACGTATTTATTATGAATTACTGTATCATCTTTGAAGTTCATTTTGCAATTACCATTTACTTATCGTTTAAGTCAATCCTGATTGGACAACCGGGTTGGACTTATGTTTTGATAAAAGAAATTCCATAGCCGATATCACGGTGGATCGAGGAACCATGGATGACACGGAATTCGAACTTCTGGAAACAATCCTTTACGATCCGCCCTCTGGTAGTGATTTTGCTCAAAGTTCACGGTTGCGAGAAATCTCTACCCGAAAAATGTTTTATTTATTTATTTTTTAGTGGCTATTTTTTATCGTTTAATCCAATAATAAAACTTTGATTACAGGTTTCTTTCTTCTGAATCAACATTTGGAACGTCTAACAAACTCCGCCTTATATTTCTCTGAAAATTCAAAATCTAAAGTTTTTAAGAATTGCACGAGTTCGGAGTTTGGAAGCGTTGTCGAAAAAGAATTACACCAAAGCGTTGAGAAGTTAGGAAAGGAAGTTAAACAAAGGGCACGTTTTTTGTAATTTAATCGTTCTTTGTGCCATTCCGTTCGCTATTAAATCCAAATTTTAGGTGAGACTGACGGTTAACAAAGATGGAATCATAAAAGTCGCAAGCACTGTCCTGCCAAACTCATCATCTTCTGTTACCCCAGGTTCACTAATAAATAGCTTTAAACTATTACTTGTTTTGAATCGATTGAACAATGATTGAATTAGCACAATTATTTTTGTAATTTTAGAACCGCTAAAAATCGTTTTAGATAAAAAATACACTTCCTCTGACAATATCTTTTTGCGTCATAAGACGACCAATAGGAAAGCCTATGATGATGCCAAGATTCGAGTAAGTGACGTAGTATTTTCATTTGAACGAACATTACTTCACGCAATGTATGCACGCTTTTTAGGCAGGTCTTCCGTTGCTTCCCGGCCCTAACCAAACGAAAGATAATAATATATTTGACGTTTTAATGTATAATGAAAATAATGAAATTACAGAGTGTACAATTTCTAATATTGCTGTGGAATCCCGTGACCAAAGATGGGAAACCCCGCAGATTGAATGCGGTACGCGACCTTGAAATTTATTTACATCTCAAAAATAATTTCACTCGGCTTACATTCGATGGATTTAGGTTTATTACCTGGTGTAATGAGAGCCCACTTGATGAATATTGGTGAAATCACACCTAGTGTAATTACCATTGAAGACTTAAAAATTGCACAGCAGGTTTGTTTTGCCAAATATCTCTACATTTAAATTCGCCATTCTCTATTTCACTGCTTATTTTCCATGCACAGGAGGGAAGAAGGATAAAATGTTTTAATTCCGTCAGGAAAGAATTTGAAGTTGTCCTGGTTGAACAATAACTCGAAAAATGTCTTTCAACTTTATTTACTGAATTGCATCTGAACATTATATTATTTTCTAATAAATGTTTAATCACCCTATTTCTTTCATTCCACACATCCAATTTCTTAACACTTTTGGTATTGTCACTTTCCCATCATCCCTTTGAAAGTTCTCAAGTATTGCAATAATCATTCTTGGTACCGCAATTGCGGTTCCATTCAGTGTGTGAACAAATTCCGTGTGCTGTGTTTGTTGGGCTTTCTGTCCTGCGATATTATTTGCATTATTACCAACTTGTTCTTGTAAAGAAATCGAGGGTTTATATCGGATGTTTAAGCGGCGCGATTGATAGTCTGTACAATTTGAGGCGGAGGATATCTGGAGAAGATATTTGTAGAAAAAGACGCGTTGAAAACCACAGACTAAATTAATAAAATGTTATTTAAACCATTAAAATCTACCTCTCCCCATCTTCCGCGTCCAGGCATCCAAGCTTCTATATCGAATTTCCGATATGCACTAGCTCCAAGTTCGTATGTAGGCATGTCCAAAATCCTAGATTTATTATAAAATATAACTTTTCTTGTTTTTAAACAATCACCAGAAATTTATTAAAGTTCGTACATGCCTAAAACATAATTCCAATTCACGGAATATCTCTTCTTGTATATTAACAATCTCATTCAACATTGCATTACTTTCCTCAGGTCTGGTCAAACAAAATATCTCAACCTTACTAAATTGATGTACACGATAAAGTCCTTTTGCGTCTTGACCTCGTGCTCCCGCTTCTGCTCTAAACGCTCTACCAAATCCCACCATCCGTATGGGTAACTGTGATGGTGACAATATTTTGCCTGCATAAATTCCCGCGAGTGGAATTTCAGCCGTAGCGGCTAGCGTACGCTGATAGGATGCAGAATCTCCTGGCGAAATATGAGCGTCCGTAGAAACAAAATAGTTTTGAGAAAGTTCATCATCCCGTGGTTGGAATCCACACGCATTACTAAATTCTGTCCTTACTACATCCGGAGTAATCACTGGCGTATACCCTTTGGCTATCAATTTTTGCATGGCGTACTGTATTAATGCCAATTCTAGTAATGCACCGGCATTACGCAAGTAATACCAGCTTGTACCCGTAACAGTTGATGCTGCCTCGAAATCAATGAGATCAAATTTTTTCGCAATTTCTATGTGATCTTTGGTTGTTTTACGTACAATGGGATCAATTTGTGCGCGTGAGGAAGTAGAAAAGTCTACAGGTTCTAGAGATTCACCCAATGGATTTCCAACAATCTTTACCACCCTGGAAACCTCCTCACCGCCAACTCGAACCTCTTCATGTGTGTCATTAGGAATTTTCAACCCTTCCATCAGCATTTCTTCTTCAACCTTAACCAATTCGACTTCCATTTTTTGAATTTCCTCTTTGATCTCTTTCGCTTGTTCGACCAATTTGTTTTTCTCGTTCTTGTCTTGGATAGATTTTATTTTTTTGGTAATTTCGTTGCGTTGATTTCTTTTGGAATTTATGAGTGAAGTCAGGCTACAAAATTTTGTGTATAGACAATTCACTAACGAGATGTCTGCATCCTTCAGATTTCGATTGAGAATGTTCTGTGATATCTTTTCAGAGTTGGCGAGAAAATGCTTGTAGTTTAGGTGAGGTTGGAGATAGATGAATTTCTGCATGGGATTTTTTTGTTGTGAGCGTGATGTAGGTGGAGGTGGCGGTGGCGGGGAAGATGAAGTAGTATAGAATACTGTATGACATTGATGTATTTATTAAATGATGAAATCGATGGAATAGAACATAAACAAAATAAAAAATTATACGCCTACCATTAATATTTGCTCGTACAAAATCTCCACAACTCTTTGTGCCCACGTCATATTTGGGAATAACTGATCCAAAATTTTTATACCTCTGAATGACATTGACTCTTGAATTTGAATCCAATATGATTAAATAAAGTTAGTCTTTACTATGCACATCATATCCCATATAGGTTCAAGTCTCAAAGTCAAGCCAAAACCCGACCCTCCGTTAAATATTTGAGCAAGATATTCCTGGCGCCATTCACGTCCCGATCCATCCCACCTCGCACGAATCCCATTTGAAAGTTTTTGATCCATTGAGATCATTTTTTATGAATCCACAATTCCCACACGTTTTTGAGGTATACTCTTCAGTGCATTCAATGACCTTGCAACCTCTGAATTCCCTCGACTTATGATGTAAGAGCATCCAAAACCTGAAATGCGACCAAGTCAGCATCGCACGAGCAATATTTGACCGAATCTTTCGTTTGTAATTCTGATATAACCAACGGGCCAGCTGATAATTGCACACATCGATCAAATCACGAATTCATTGTATAATTCGTAGCATCTTTTTTCTATTTGTTCTTCCCAAAGCAAGATCTTTATCACTTTGTAATTTGTCATGTTTCTAGGATAATTTGAATACTTTACTAAATCATCATTACCCCCATTCGACTAATTGATTATCGGGGTCGTAACCGGTCGTAATCGTGCGAACACCTAGATCAAGCGATATTATCCTTTCTCTGAACATCATCTTGGTTATCAATGATACGGAAACATAAAAGTAAAAATGTCACAGGTGATTCATAATGATGTTAACCGTCTCGATCCTTGCATCCTAAAGAATATTATTACCTCAGAATGATCACTAGATATCAATAATACGGTTTGTGTTCGATCATTATTCGATCGGCACTTCATTCGAAAATTATTTCCATGCAACTTCTTGTTGTGTTTTATGCGCCCATTATTGCTTTCGTATGACGCTCATGTCTATCCTGCACCATCTCAAGAACCTTGTTGTACGTCCATCTCACAGCTCCCATCCACTTTCTTAACTTTCTCTTTCTTCGGACGTTGGGTAAATCCGTATTTTTCGTGTTTTCAGTCTCTCTTCGTCGTCTTCGGTTCTTGGCTGATCTGAGTCTATTGTGCCTTGCCTTGAAGATAGTAACGATCGATAGTAGATCTTCGGCAAGCTCACCGGATTCAATATTGACGTCCGAATCGAGTACCATGATCTTTGTACCGTTCTTGCCAAGAATCCATTCGACGAGCTCGTATGCAAATCTGCAGAGTCGATCCTTCCTGGTAACCACAACCTCATCGCTATCTCCTCGGTACGATCGTTCCAAAATGCATGTGAAGCCCTCGCGTTTCCTGTTGAGACCTTTCTGCCTGAGGTACTCGCATTGCTTGTCGAGATCCTCTTTCTGCTTCTTCGAACTGACTCTTGCGTAACTAATCTTTTTCTTTTAATATATTCTTTATTGATTTCCAAAGATCCTTTTCACATCCGCTACAGAATACCACCAGGTGTTCAGATGCTCGATATCTTTCCTTGGTTATTCCACCTTCTCAATGTTTCTGATGAAATTTCTTGTTTTTCTGATCCCCTGTGCTCCGCGATACTTTGTTGTTGACGCTATCTTGCTCAAATATACGAAAACGGGACTTAAAAAGAATATTGAATCATCGATAACGATAATAATGATAATTCAACATTCTTTGTCATTAATAATCAAATAATTAAAAATACTTACTATTTTTAAAAATAACAATCAGTATGATGAATAACAAAGCCATAAAATACATTTAATTAACAATATTGTGTTGTTTACGAACCGTTGAACGAAACATTATATAATATCACCTTCCGAAAAATCTATGATACCCCGGTTCCCAGAAAAATCGATGATTTATAATGCACTGGAGAGATTTCAGATGTGTGTAACGTTCTTTAGAAAAATGATTAACCAACAAACCAATTGTCAATTGTCACATTCAATTCAAGGCGTCATCAAGAACGATTTTCCTTGGAAAAATGAATGACGTTAGTGTATAAAAAAAAAACTCAAATAATGTGACTGATGATCTACATATAATTCATTATAAATAACCGCGTTTGAATCTCAAGATCTATTATACTTACTCTATGCACTTAATATGTTTTCGCTCTCTAAATTCACGGTCAAGCTTGATCCCAAGTACATGCACATATTTTAAAAAATTTTTTATGGTCCCGAAGGAAGTGCATTTAGAAAGGGTTACTGTATATCTTTTTTAATAAGAAAATAATTCCTTTAGGGCTAGAGTGAAAGAACCTATCATATTATTGTGAACACTTTTTTTTATTACTTAAAAATAGGCAAATAAATGTGATACAATTTTTTATCACATATTTAATGGATGCCAAAGTATATTATTAAAATTTTATATTATTCCATTTAATTACTCAAAAATTATATAGGAAAAACTAACAAAGCTAATTTTTTCTATTGAGTCAGTTTTTTTTCTTTTTTTTTTTTTTTAAATTAATTATATTCTAATATTTTATAAGTTTTCTTTTAATTCTAATACAAGTGATAACCTGGTTAAGCATATTTATAATCAGCTTGTGACAATACTTTAATAGTATATTATATTATGTTTATTTGATAAGAATATTGAGCTAATTGAGATTACTTGATTTTGACTTGTGAAATATTGATTTTTTTATTTCAACCTAAAGATTTTTGATGAGATTAAAATAAGAATTTTGTGAAGATTAATCTATTATACAAATTCTATTTTCTAATAAATTGTATAACTATTTTGATGATATATAGTTTTGTATTATCTTGTTAAAAAAATAGATAATAATTCTTATATAGTATTATAATACTCTTTCTGCTGATCCCTTTGCCAACCCAAAAAACAAACGTTCTCAAAAATATTTCTTTATTTTTGATAATAAAGTCTATACACTTTCCTTAAAAACATTACTTCCTGAAGACAGGTGTCTTCTTCACTTGTTTACTCTTCCTTCTTCGAAAAACTTTAGATACTTCAGTGACAAAATAAACAAAACTTTACTCATTTGATCCACAGTAAGAACACCTTACTGGGAAGAAAAAACTTATAGAAAAATACTTTCCACTACTTTCTCTTTAGGTCAGGAATTTCAGAAAGTAAACCACTAGCGAATACATTTCCCAAGAGCCATAAGAATCTTGGATCCATTGTAAGTGAATATCTCTTGTCAAAGCAATTGGATAAGCTAGTTGGACCAGTCAGTAAATGTATCCTCAAGTAACATGAGAATCTTGGGTCCACTGTAAGTAAACTTCTTTGGTTCAGGCAAGTAGATAAGCTGAAAAAACCCAGGTGTATGAACCTTTCCTACCATTCATACATATCTGATAGTTGACACTTTCAAGCGTGTTCAATTTTTCTTGGTTTTTCTGGGGAATTTTGCCTACCTCAGTTTGACCTTGAATTTTCTGTTACACCGAAAACTCCAGATAGTGATTGGCTGAAATCTTGAATTGGTTGATCAGCAAGTAAAAGAAATGTAAACAAGACACGTACCTATACGTGTCCCATGTCGTACTACATTATAACCGATGATATAATTGGACAGTGGCAAAAAAGCAAGGTGTCGAGATGTTCTCTGGATAAAAAGTGGCTTGAAGTCTTTCCTCTCCCCTCTTGTGCTGATTTTTTTTCTCCTCAAGATTAAAGAAGATTCTCATTAGGCTGGTGATTGGTATTGATGGGTTTTTATTTTATTAGTGCAAATTCTTCTCCTTCCTCTTTTATCTTCCTTTTTTTTCTTCTCAAAAAAATAAAAATTTTTTTTTCACCTTAAGACCACAAAGGTTAAGCTGGGGTGACAGTTCTGATGAAGGGCTGACTTTGAAATTTTAGAATAACAAGGAATGTTTTTCTTTAATTGAGCAACTTGTTCATCACCCTTAATCATATCTAGAGACCATTGGTTGCTAACGGATGTACTGTATAAATAAATAAGTTTAACCGGTAGTATATATATATTTACACGTAGTTTATAACATTTGTATTAGGGTAAAGTGACCATCAAATCAAAATTAATAAAACTTGAATATACAGCCTGATTAGGTGAAAAATAATAATAATAATAATAATAATTCTTATAATCTTGAAATTTTTTTAGAATTAATAAAACATAGCTTAAAGAATATTGATATGTGATGCATTAATGGCAATAAAATTCAATAGAATAAAAGATTCAATATTATAGTATATCAAAAGAAATAATCTTAATATATACAGTCCAGGATATACTTAACAGTATTATTTAGATACTTAATATCTTACTTTTTATGTGAATCATGTTAAACTTAATTAGAGAAATCTAAAAAATATATATAATAATTTTATCAAATCACAAAATATAAAAAACTTTCTAATAGATTAATCTTTATAAATAAGATATCAATCAAGTCTCTTTTTTATATTTTGGAAGAAAACAAATAGTTTTAAATAAATAATACAAAATCTCAAGTTTTTATTATACAAGATATAATAAATAATACTTTTAGAAACAAAGTTTTTTATTTTAAAAAAAATATTAAAAAAATTGTTAATTTGAGCTAGGTTAAAATAATAATTGTTATTAATGATTATTTTTTTGAAATTGATATAATTAAAAAGATAAGAATTTTAAAATGTTTAAAATAATTTTTTTATAAGTTTCTAAAATATTTAATTTATAAAACTTTTTATAATAAAAAAAAACTCTTTTCCATTTCCCTTTTCTGTACTTAAAAATTTTCTTTTTAGAAAACTTTTTGAGTTGTTTATTTTTCTTCACTTTTCTTTTTTTTCCTCCTCTCTTTGATTACAAATTTTTTATTTTTTATTTTTCTTTTCTCTCCTTACTCTTTTATCTTTATTTTTTTAGTCTTTTTCCACTTCCCTTCCCTTTTTCTCCTCTTCCTGCCAAAGTTAGATTTTTCCTTCTTCCTAAAGTTTTTCCTTTCTAGACCTTTCTTTCTTTAAAAACATTATATCTTATCCCATCACCCTCTGGCCAATCAGCTCCATTTTCTCAGGAACCATATAAAAAGTAACAAACCTTTTTCAAGAAG